TGATGGCAAGATACCAGGCGTGAAGAGTGTATGTCATTGTTGATGGTCTTCACCAATCACATGCATAAAACCGTAACTTCGAAGTTCGATTGCTCCGACTAGCATGGCCGGCAGCCATGCTAGTCGGACGAGGTCCTTGGTGCTGCCGCCAGCGCTGCTCTCAGCGCCGCTTGCTGCGCTTCGCACCCTCTTCCGCGTGCTCTTTGATGGCGAGTTGGTTGGCCATAGGTCGATGCAATTGTCGCTTTGGCCAACTCTTGTCCTTCCCTATCCGCCCGCCATCAACAAACCGATCTTGATTGACGCTCTCCAAGCAGCCAGCGGCTTGTATGCGTCGCTGACCACTCGCAGCAGCAGCCGCGCGCGCTGGGACCTACCTCCGCACCTCACAATCGAGCTGCCGTGTCACCTTGCCTTCGTTCTTTAGCATGCTGGTATGAAACAAACTCCTCTCACGACGTGCCACGTCACATGTCCAAATGTTGATCTCGCATCGACTGTCATCCCGCAATCTGCCGCGCGCTGATTGGCTACATCCACCCGACATTGCACCATTCCGCAACCAGCGCCATGCAGTCCACCGACGCGCTCTCGGACGAGCTCGTGCATCATCTAATGACGTTCGTTGAAGCCCAAGCCGACGTCGCATCGCTTCTTGACGCGCTGCCACCCGGTCGGCTCTCGGCGCCGCTACGCGCCCTTTGCTACCTCCTTTGCTCGCTCTATCGCGGCCGCATTGTGCGGCAGACGCAAAGCCATGGGCACCACCTTTCATTTTGGCCCGACCTCGTGCTGCCGTGCGACATCAAGGCACCCGATTTGATTGACGCCTTGTACGATTGCATGCCTCTCTATACCTCGGTGACATGCGTCGGCCCGCGTACGTGGAAGGCGCTGCCGCCAAGCGCCGTCTTCAAGGTGGTCCACCCGATGGCGCGTCCTACGCGCGTCTTTGCGATGCTGCAGCACACGTTCGCAAGTCTGAAGCACGTGGCGATTCGGACGTCTCTTCGCAATCGCAAGTGGGCAGACGAGAACCTCCTGCGCTTGAGCGAGCTGCTTCCGCGCTTGCCGCAGCTACAGTCGCTCGACCTCGATTGCACGAGCCCGCGCGTCACGCCCGGGATACTTGCGCTCCTTCGTGCAGTCTTTTGTACGCCCCGCCTCACGACGCTGTGCTTACAGACAAACACGTGGCACGAGGACCTTGACGCGGTGTTTGCTGCCTGGATGGCCGCATCGCCTGTCGCGAGCTTGGACTTCTGCAGCCGGTTCCCGAGTGACGCGCCAACGTTTCTACGCGCGATCGCAACGTCTCGCACCCTCACTTGTCTCCGGGTTGGCAATTTCCGAGACGCCCGCAACCTCTTCTTGGCCAAGCGGCCGTTGGAGTGGTCGGCGCCGCTGAGTGAGCTCGATGTAAACCTTGAGATGACGCCCAATGGTCACTCGGCGCTCAACGTCGTTTCGTGGGTCAACGTTCAAGTGCTCCGCGCCCAGTGCATTGGGGACGCTGCGCCGATCGCATTGGCGCTGGCTCAACCGAGTGCACTCCAGCATCTTCATCTAATGAATGGTCCTCTCGTTCCGGCCATGTACCCCGTACTCAATGCACGTCTCGCCCGTCTCGTGGCGCTGTGCTTGACACGGAATACCCTTGGAGACGACGGTATTCGTACGCTCGCTGCCGCATTCTCGACGTGTCTGCGCTTGGAGCAGCTCACGCTGTCCGAGCAAGGCATGACGGACCGTGGCGTGACGGTGCTGGCCGAGAGCTTGGTCGCCTGCCGGTCGCTTCGCGTCCTCAACATGGCGCACAACGCCATTGGCAGCGATGGCTTTCTCGCGCTGCGACCGATACTCCCGCGCCTCACACACCTCGAGCTCCAATACAACTGCATCGGCCACAAGGCAGCGATGGCCTTGCGCGGCCTCTTGCCACAAACAGCGCATTTCCGCTGCCTCGATATGAGTGCCAACCCTCTGGGACGCATCGGCGTGCTGGCCATGGTGGCGGCGCTCAAGCCGGCCGTCTACCGCAGCGGCCGCCTTCTCGTCTCCGTGAGCGCTGGCGACGACCACGTGGCCTGCACGGCGGCGCGCATGGGTCTGCGGGACCCCGACTATATCGTTGTCGGCGCCATCGAGCCAGGGCGTGTGGCGTCCATGCCATGACGCGCATCGACGTCGTAGTACCTTTATGGCCGTAGTTGGTCCGACTAGAGAATAGTACTATCGTAATAGGATGTAGTCATACACTTGGTATACTTCAACGCACATGCTGCAAGTAACGGTGAGACAGAGCGAATGAAGATGAGTGCACTGGCTATGGAGCTATCATGCGGAGGAGGCGGTGAGGCACGAGGCCGCCGCCTCAGAGGTCTACGGAGACCGAACGGTGGACCGTTCCGGACATCGAGTTCGCACAGTCCTCAGAAGTTAGGTCGTGTTGGCAGAGAGACACTGAGTCGACGAACCGACCTGTAGACCGACTAGACTACGAAACGACCAAGCCGAGGAAAAAACCTCCGGTCGACCCAGGAGACGAGAAGCCTCGGAGCCAAGGCCGGGTGAGCGTACTCGTAGAGATCCAGAGATGACACACAGCAACCTCCTGGACATGGTGAGGTGGCTACGTGGCGCACACGACGTGATCGCTTCGACAAAAGAGCTGTACGGCCAAGAACTGTAGTACTTAGTGCACTAAAACATCATGTCGGGCTGCTCAAACTGCAGCATCGACTGGTTCGGAAGACGAGCAATCGCTTGCCGACACGCGGCCACGTCATTGGTCCGATCGGTCGCAACCGCGCCGATGACGACGACGGCGCCACCTTGAAAATGACGCGAGTGCGACAGGCCCGACACGAGGGCAAGGACACCGCGGCGCTTGACGGGGTTGTACATGAGTCCGACCTGGCGGAGGTGCCGCGCCTGGGGCAAGACGCGGGCGAGGGCCACCGCGCCGGTGGCCCCAATCTCATTGTCGTTCAAGTCGACCGAGTCGAGCTGACTCACAAGGCGGCTGAGCGCGATCGCACCGTCCGAGCCGATGCGGTTTTCGCTCAGATCCAGCGAGCGCAGCGAGGGCGGTGCGCCATTGGCTATCGCAATCGCGCTTCGGTCGGTGCACTTTTGGCTAATGACGTGCAGCGTCTGGAGCCGGCGACAGGCCGGCAAGGCGGCCGCGAGCACGCTCAGTCCGTCGTCCTTGAGCTTGTTTTCATAGAGGAAGATGTGCTCCAGGCGCTGCACGACCAGACCGAGCGGCCGCCACGACTCTTTGGGCAGCGGGAATGAAAAAAGCTCGAGCGTACGCAGCGCCGTCAAGGTCGGGAGCGTCTCGCTCACAAAGCGCGTGGCCGCCAAGTCCTCGTCGCGCTTGTGCCGGCCGGGGAAGAGCACCGAGAAGCGCAACGTGTGCAGCGGCAAATGGGCGAGCGACGCCATCGCGCGGTCGAGGTCGTCGTATGGGATGCTCCAGAGCTCGAGCGTCGTCAGCGACGTCGGCAACGTGATGCGGCGCTTGAAGAGCGGTCGGGCAAGCGCAACGCTTCGAAGCACGAGCGTCTCCAATGTCTTGCAGTGCGTGATGGCGTCCAAGAGCGTATGCAAGCATGCTTCGTCGATGGCCTTGAGGCTGTGTAGCGCCACCGACTGGACAGGCCGCGTCGCCAGCCACTGGACGACGAGCGACGTCATGCGGGAGGTCCAGTTGAGGCGCGAGTCGAACGAAAAGCGCAGCGCGAGCGATGTGATGGGCGTCGTCGTCATGGCCTCGAGAAGCGCCGTAAACGCCTCGTCGCTGCGCGTCGACGGCCACAGCACGTCGATGGCCTCGAGCCGCGGAAGCGATGCAAGCCCGTGGGCCAGCGCATCGATGGACCAGGCGCCGTCGCGCAAGTCGAGCGATATGGACGTGATCGCGTCCGGCCACTGCTGCAACGCTGTCGTGAACGCTGTTGGCAACGAGAGGTTGGCAAGCTCGAGGCGCGTCGTGCGTGGGATCACGTACGGGAAGCCCACGACCTGCAGCCGCAGCATCGGAAACAGCCCAAGACACGTTGTGATATGGCGCGCGAGTTCATCGTCCGGCGACGCGTTGGACAAGTCGAGCGTCGGCCAGAGGCGCACGTCGCCGGCGGTCGCTGCAAGCCGGCCAGCGCGCTGCGCCGCAAAGAGCGCGAGAAGACTCGCGAGCGATGGAGATAGAAGACGCGGTGGCAAGGCCTCGAGGTACGCACGCACGTCGGCCGGGCGGTCGAGGAAGATCGCAATGTGCTGCCACACGTCGCTCGAGGAAGATCGCAATGTGCTGCCACACGTCGCTCGGGGCGGCGGTGGGATCCATGCGACTTGCTGCCGGCAGCTTCCAGCTGTCAAAATATTCCTCGCCCAAATATTGATTTTCGAGGCGCACTCATATTGGATTTGCACATGTATATTCATGCCATTTCCACCAATGGCATCGCGCGCCGCCACGGTTTTTATCCAGTCCGCTACTACAGCTAGTTTGGCGAGTCATTTCGAACTGGGCCTTGTGCAAGCAGCACAGAGCTGTGGCTCAGCCCCTTGCCTCGACATCAATGCAGCTGGTATCGAAAGCGAGTGCTGGAATAGCGCTGCGTGAGAACAGCAAAGTAGTCTGACGTCGCCGTCGTCGTCGGTGGCCAATTTTGCAAACTAGTAGGTCGGGCGTCATGGGTCGCGTCACCAATCGCCTACCATGGCGGCGCGACGTGGCCCTGTAACCAGTCGTACGGCTCGTATGAATTCCCCGAGACACCGTTACCGTGCCGCAAGCATTCTCCTGCGGCGAAGGAGACGCTTTCATCGTTGTCTTGGGGTTGTCAGCTCTGCACTAGAGTCGCAGCACACCCACCAAATGCATTTGCTTGTGTAGCATGTGCTAGTGATGAAGTAACTTTATATAGATAGTAGCTAGTGCTGGTAATATTGTCCGAGTTGTTGGCACCACAAGATCCCCATGCGAATCTTTCGAATCTAGTTCAACTTCAACAACGCACCTCTTTTCGTAGGTGCGCTTTTATCCTGTATACCATTTGCGTTGAAAGCGCACCGAAACACGAAAGCAGTGCGTATATACAAGAATATCGCGATCCGCCCGTTGGATTCACCGGTTTGCCCGTGTGCCATGACCACCGAGGCCATCACGTCGGCGCTCATCTGCGCCTTGGTCGTCGCCGGTACTTTGCTTGATGCGGAAGGTAGTCGCGAGAGCAACCGCTTGCACTCGCGCGCGTATCGGTATGCACCTCGACCTAGGCCTGTCTGACGCCATGCCAGGTGGCAGCGGCTCGGCAACTGGCTGCCGCTTGGCATCGCGTACGCTGCGTTCTACATGGCGCGCTACAACGTTCGCCTCGAGCTGTCTGTATGCGTCGCTCCTCAAGCGCTGGCTGTAGATTGCCGCGGGCAACGTCGCGGCCATTCGCGCGCAGCTGCACTTGACGACCACCGACATGGGCTGGTACGCATGTCTCGCCGTGCTTGGCCTATGGTATGGGCATGTAGGGTCATCTCGGCCGGCTCGTGGACGTACGCACTCAGCGCTCCCTTCACCGGTACGATGCGAAATTCGGCGCTCGTGCCATGGCCGTGGCATTAGGCCACGTGACCGATCGCATTGGCGGGCAGCGCGGGATTGTGCTCGCGTGCGCTGGCGCCGGCGCCTGCAACCTCCTCTTGGGCCTCGCATTCTCGCGCGGTGGCGTGTCCGAGGCCGCGTTTTGCATCCTCTTTGCGCTCAACCAAGGCTTCCAAGGCTTTGGCACGGCGGCCGTCGTCAAGATCAACGCCCGTTGGTATGGACCCAGCGAACGCGGTCTCTTCTCGGGTACGCCTTGACAATATTCTTGCTGAGAGTGCGACCATATGGGGCTAGGTATCTTCAATATGCTGGTCGTGAGCGGCTACTACCTCGCGCTCGGGTCCGGCGACTCGATCGTGGCAACGCTAGGATGGCCGTACCTCTTTTACATCCCAAGCCTCTTGCTTGGCGCCATGGGTCTCGTGTCGGTCTTCTGGATTCGCAATGGCCCGCCGACGTCCGAGAGGCTGCCCTCACGTCCCTCGACGCGACCTCTCTGTGACACTTCGCACAGCGGCGTGCTCTGCCTCCTGCAGAGTCCAACCGTGTGGGGCTACCTCGGTGCGATCTTCTGCCTCTCGTGGGCGCGCGACGGCCTCCTCAACTGGATGTACTCGTACTTTGATGCGGTGCGTGTTTTGCCGTTGTCACCAAGCGACCATGCGCTCCTTGGCGGCGCGTGGACGCTCGGTGGCTTTGTCGGCGGTGTCCTCTGTGGCTGGATCTCGGACCACCTCTTCCGCGGCCAGCGCATGCCACCCATCGTGCTCTTCTCAGTTATGCAAGCCGTCGTGGTCTGCAGTATGTACATGGCGGCACCGTCCGTGTCAATGTCGGTGCTGGCGCTTCTCCTCTTCGTCGCGAGTGTCTTTCTGCTTGGCAGCTACACGATGCTCAGCTACACGATTCCGACCGACCTTCCGGTTGAAATTGCGGCCAGCGCCGGTGGGCTCTTCACGACGGCCGCCTACATGGCCACCGGTCTCTCAGGTGTTGCCATGGGCGCCGTCGTTAGCGACTATGGCTACCGGTTTTGGGTTGCTTCGCTCGTACTGGCGTCGATATCGTCGGGCCTCTGCACCTATGTCGGTGCGCAGTACGCCAAATCGCACGTTGGTACGATGGTACATGAGACCGAGTGCACTCCGCTGCAAACCGCGCGCGTGGATCTCCGCCGCGCGTCGCTTGTCAACACCCAAGCCGACTTCTTCGCCGTGGTGATGGACATCAAGGACGACAAGGACGCGCAAGAGACGACGTAATTGCGAGGCGGGTTTGCGCAAAGGACTTGAGAAAGCTCAATCAAAGGCGTGCACTGTATAACTACCTAGTACGCTTCGTATTCTACTTGCAAGGGCTTAACTAAGCGCATGGAAGAGACGGGTTTCGAGACGCACTCGGTGTCGCGCCACTGACGCCACATCTCGAGAGATCCGCAAGTAGCTTGGGACGCGTCGCCGGATTCGCGTGGCGGGTGTTTCGACCTTCGATATCATACCTTCAGATGCGTTCGTGCATCTTAGCATTTGCGCATTCGCCAGTGAGCATGGTCGTCGTCACTGGACCGTTCAGCACCCGTCCGCGCCGTCCACCAACCGAGAGGTTCGTCGAAATGCTATGTGCGCTCAAGCGCCACCATCGCTGGCTACCACGGTACGCACGGCACCTCTACGTTCTTAGTTGCAGCGGTCTCCTAGGCTCGATCGACCGGCCACGGTGGCCCCCATCGCCCTCGCGATCATGTCGTTTCAAGTCGTTCGCGCCAGTGTACACCTCGCCTTGTGCGAAGTCGAGCTGAGGTGACTTGTCTAGCTCGGGTCGCTGCCCACCGACGGAACGACGGTCGTTGTTTCGTTCTTGACGCAGCACGACCTCGACTGGTGCGGCGATGCCATCCCGACGGCGCTTGATGGTGACGGGTGTAGGATCGTGAGCTTTGGGACGTGGATTGTCGCAGGGACCGCGCCCTTTGCGGGTTCTCGCGAGAACCTTCCGGAAGCTCAACCTCTAACGCGTCGCTTGGGTGTAGGTCACGTGACCGATCGCATCGGCGCTTCGAAAGCGGTTGTCGGTGCGTGTCTTGTCGCCGGCGGGGCTTGCCTTCTCCTGAGCATTCTGCTGACCTCGGACAGCGTGTCCAAAGCTGTGCTCATGTACAGCTACGGTCTCTTCTCAGCACTCCACAGTGTCGCAACCTGTGCGATCGCCAAGGTGGGCGCAACGTGGTACGACAAGCACGAGCGGGGTCGACTTGCAGGTGCGCGCGTGCAATGGTGTATTGGATCGCTACACTGTGCTAACTAGGTATGGTTGGTGCAACATTCCTTTGCACCGACTATGTCCTCGCCACTGCCCCACTGCAACGTCTCGTCGCATCTCCGAACAGTGCGTCGTGCTTTCTGTCGGCCGTGAGCCTTGTATTTGTCTTCCTCGCGACCATGGCGCAGCTTTGCAGCTGCGATGCGCCGCTACGAGCCATCGACGAGCCACTGCAAGGCGCGTCATCACCCGCACTCGGCGTCAACGGCCTCGGCGAGGTCCTTCGACTCGACTCGATGCGTGGCGTTGCGCCGGCGGTGGTATGCCTCTTCTACGCGAGCGATGCACTGCGGGCCCAACTGCCACCCACGACAATGGGCCTCGATAATGCCTGGAAGCTTGGCAGTGTCGTCGGCGCCATGGCGCTTGGGAGCCTCAGTGACGTTGTGTTTCAGTCGCAGCGCGCGCCAACGATCGTGCTTCTCTTCCTCGTCCAAGCGGTCGGCATCTACCTCGTATTTGCGCTGGGACCGCACGTGACGTACGTAGCGTGGCTCGTCACGGGTGCCAGCGCGCTACTTCGTGGCAATATCGTACTCGTTTGGCTAACATGGCCCATGGACCTTCCGCCCGAAATGACTGCTAGCGCCAGCGGCGTCCTCACCACACTGAGTTCTATCGGAGCCGGGGTCGCATCAATAGCTGCCAGTTGCTTTGTGAATACCCACGTGTGCCTCGTCTCGCTGCTCGCAGCGTGCCTCGCGGGCAGTGGCAGCATGCTACGCGTGTACCTCGTCGCGCTGTACCCACCTCACGAAGCAGTTGAAACCCTGCCTCTGTATCGGAGACGTCGTGATGACGTGCGCTCCGTCCACGTCTCCCGCCGCGCGTCATTTTAGGACCTTGTCATAAGCCATCTTTTCAAGTCAATCGTACCTAGCATGATCCATGAGTCCTACGTGATGACATGCGCCGTCGAGGGAATGGCGCTGCAGCCATTCGATGACGAACACAAGCAAGCTTATAAAGCCGTGCAACCGCTCCTCATATCCTTCGTCAAAGAATTCTCCAGATTATTCTCTACTCTAGTACGTCCACAGCCGCCGCCTGCGCAGCCACGGACCGGCGAGCGAATGAAGAAGGAGATTGCTAGTCTCTACGTATGCGAAGTCTTTGTGTAATTATGAAGATAACGCGAAACACGTTCATATATATATAGTACGTCCACAGCGCCGCGTTCGATACCGTTGCGGGTGCCACGTCGGTGGATACCGCGCCTCCATCTTGCCACGTGTAGCCAATCACCGTCGGGTATTCCGTAACGTCAATCACAGCATGACGTGGCAGTCTCCTGTTCCATGGTTGGTGCAAGAAATCGAAAACGAAAACATACGAGTCGCTGTTTTAGACCGTGCCTTCGTGCACATCGTCGTCACTCGCGTGCTTCTCATCATTCTCCTCGACGTCTTCGGTGGGCACGGCAAAGAACTCGGCTTCGATACGGACCAGCGACGCGCGGTACGAGCGCGTCCGGCTCTGCTTGACCGAGAGCGGTGTCGCTTCGTGGATCGCTGCCTCCTTGAGCTCTTCCGATTGGGCCCAGCGCGACCCGAGGATCGTGCAAAGTGCCGTCGCGCACGACGTGAGCGTGAGTGACACAATCCAAAACGTGTAGCCGTACTGTGTGATGAACGAGCCCATAACGACGCCCGAGAGGCCGGTCGCAAAGTAGCCAACGGCCGTAAAGAGGCCTGCCGCGCTCGCCGCAATGTCCACGGGAAGGTCCGTCGGCACCGTGTAACTGAGCAGCGTGTAGTTGCCAAGGAGGAAGACGCTGACGCAAAAGAGGATCATGGCGAGCACCTCAATCGAGACGGTCGGGCCAAAGACATAGAGCGCGACAAAGAGGATGCCTTGCATGGCTGAGAAGAGCACGATGGGTGGCATGCGTTGGCCGCGGAAGATGTGGTCCGAGATCCAGCCACAGAGGACACCGCCGACAAAGCCACCGAGCGTCCACGCGCCACCAAGGAGCGCATGATCACTCGGCGACAACGGCGCCACACGGACCGCATCAAAGTACGAGTACATCCAGTTGAGGAGGCCGTCGCGGGCCCACGAGAGGCAAAAGACGGCGCCGAGGTAGCCCCACACGGTCTTGTTCTGGAGAAGACGCGCAAAGCCCGACTGGTGCTTTTGGCACAAGGGCGCGGGGACTTGAACGACGACCGCGTCGGTCGGCGGCGTGTTGCGGATGAAGAAGAGGATAAAGACGCTCATCGCAAGCATGATGCTGCTCGGGATGTAAAAGAGGTACGGCCACCCGAGGTTCGAGACAATGTAGTCGCCCGACCCGAGCGCGAGGTAGTACCCGCTCACAATCAAAATGTTGAAAATCCCTAGCAAACTGTGAACAACTCTCGTACAAACCTCCAAGATGACACGTACCCGAGAAGAGGCCGCGTTCGCTCGGCGCATACCACATGGCGTTGATCTTGACAACGGCGCTCGTACCAAAGCCTTGGAAGAGCACGTTCGAGGCGTAGAAGAACATAAACTCAAACTGCGTAAACGTATTGCGCGAAAAAAGCACCGCGAGCACCAAGTTGCAGAGGCCCGCACCGACGCACGCAATGAGCATCCCTTGCTGCCCACCGAGGCGGTCCGTGATCGCACCGGTCAGCGGCGCACTGATGGCATACGCCCACGACCCGGACGAAATGATCCTACACCCCGCCGCATCATCAGCACAAATGTCGGCAAAGAATGGACGGTACCAGCCCATGTCCGTCGCCGTCATGTGCAGCTGCGAACGAATCGACTCGATGTTGCCCGCTGCAATCTAGTCATCTCGTGTGACCACCTCAAATACGAGTAGGCGCGAGGGTACATTGTAGCGAGCCATGTAAAAGGCAGCATACGCGATACCGAGGGGAAACCAATTGGCGAGGCGGCGCCACCTAATAAGATGCAATAAGATATCTGCCTGCCGAGAGGCTTGGAAGTACCGAAAACTGCGCGGGAAGAGGCGCTTGCTTGTCTGGTTGAACTCGACATCGAGGAGCGCGCCAGCGATGACAAAGGCTGCGATGAGCACCGAGATGGCGGTCGCAATCGACATGGTCGGCGCCAACTGCAAAGTGAGCAAAGTGCAAAGTGAGCGCCGATTCTGTTTTGCAAAAAGGTCCGCGGATGCACAAAGACGCACCTGTTTTACTCTGACACGCCAAAAACGCACCGCTTTGTACCCATATTCGGTGCGCTTTGTAGCTGCGACGGGGCGACCACCCGGGTTTACGTAGCAAAAAAGGCGTGACTCACGAGGCAGAAGAGTGCGCGCCAATTCCTGACCCAGGTCCGTTGACAATCCCACTCGGGGTCGACTTGCTCATTGGCCACGCGGATGGCCGTCGCGCGCAATGGACGTGGCGCGACGCCCGTGATTTCGCATGCTTGGCGTAGACAGGGATCGCGGCTGCCCCAGAAAACACCCCAACAGAGCCGAGTCTGGACCGACCCTCGCTTATTCCTTCTCGCCGACTTTTGGAAACCAGAATCGACGTTGTTCTGGGGATGATGGATGTCTAGAGAAGGCGATGGGCGGTCTCGTGCTTGCCGTTGGGCGCTTGAAGGCGTCGTAGGAATGGTGTATCCTGCTCGCGACAACCGATCAACGCCGGCGTGAAAGATCTTCTTTGGCCACGCTGCGAGCTGGCTGCGCGAACAATCGCGTGCCGAGGTTGATCGGGGCACCAGCTCAAAACCAAATCGCGTTGACGCTGTGTCCTGCATGTCGTTCAAGGGACCCGAGGCAAGCGTGCAGGTCTCTCATTTTTGCCTGCAGCATCGTCTTGATTGGTTCTTGTGCCATCATGTTCAGTCGATGCGAAGCGTCCGTTCTTTTTTAGCTCGGTGGGACTGGTGGTTGGTGGTGACCACCGGCTATCTCTCGCCACTGGTGGTCGTTTGTCGAGACATCAACCCCATTCGCGTTAGTTGTTCCATCACACGTGGCGTTGGGCGGAGACCACGAGGTGCCGCTTCCTCGGACGCTGGATCCCCGTCGTTTTGGATACACCTCCATCTTTGATCTTATTGCGCAATGTGTTGCGTTGTTCCGGCGGTGGCATGGTCTATGTGCCGGTAACCCCTCGGATATGTATCCTTTGCAGCCATAAACGCTGGTCGGCGTTGCTCATGGAGTGATCTCTGCCAACGTCGATCGATGCTGCTGGCGATCCTCCGCTTTCGAAGATATGACGATCTCCGCCGTTGCGTAATTTAATCGGATGTTTTATTGTGAGATACTGACAGCCAGTGCACGTGCAATAAAAATGGCACCGACCAATCAAACGCGGCGAAATTGTTTGCGACTGATCCAGCCTCGCATCACCCGAACACCCTCGCGATGGCAACCTCTGGGCGCCTGCAAGTCCCGACCGACGCGTTCGCCGAGGCCGAGGTCGAGACCGAGCTCGTGCTTAAGACGTGGCGGTCCTTTGCCATCTACCGCATCGAGGTTGCGTGCCCCATCACGCAGCGCTGGTGGACGCTCGAGAAGCGCTTCTCGGACTTTTACCGCTTGCGACACATGCTCGAGCAGTGGGCGAGCAGCGCGACGCCGACATCGGCCATGGCGCGGCCGCTACGACGGCTCCTCGACGTGCCGTTTCCAAAGCGCGAGATGCACTGCACGCAGCCCTCGGTCGTCGCCAAGCGCGCGCGCCTCCTCAAGCAGTTTGCGTGGGCGCTCATGGTCTTCCGCGCCGAGTGCTGCATGTACCTGCTCGAGTGCGACCAGACGCAAACCGCGCCGTCCGAGCGCTTTCTGCGGACGTATGGTCGTCTTGAAGGCTTTCTCGACATGCCCGAGAGTCTGCGCGAGATGCAATTCCAGCGCGCCGAGTGGCCCATGTTGTCGCACGACCCGTGCTCAATCTGCCTCGACGAGTTCCAACCCGGCGACCTCAAAGAGATTTGCTGCGTCGTCAAGCTTCCATGCACGCACTGCTTTCACCGCGAGTGCGTCCTCGACTGGCTCACCGACATGCATTGCTGCCCGCTCTGTCGAGCCGCGACCGAGCGTGTCTCGGGCCTCTATTTATAATACCTTAGCTGGATGCGCTTATGCCAATCGAGCCAGAATGCACTTGTACCGACGTTCGTCATCGTACTACACGTGCGCCGTACTGTGCACGGATGCACCTCGTCGCAGACGTGTCGCGGCAAGATCTGGTCGTGCTCGTCGCGAGCAGTGACGCCTCCCAAATTGTGCTCGCGCAGACGCCGTGTTGATCAATATATTCGATTTACTATTACCTAGTCGAGCAACTCTACCCGACTCGTACCGAGCTGCGAGTCGCGAATTTGATGGTAGCTGGTCCATGGACCAGCCCGTGCAATGGCTACAAAAACAAGGCCAACGCTCTCGCGCATCGAATATTGACGCTAAGATCTTATTTCCAGTGGACTAGCTAGCTCCTGGCGCCGTGTCAGAAGGACAACTCGAGCGCTGATGCTTGATCGACGCATGAGCTGGATGCCTACGACGCTGTGGCCAAGGGTTGTGGTTGGGATGCTGTCTACTCCGGCGAATATGGCCAATCACCGAAAGATTAGTGCCCTTGGAATCCACGACCACAAGGCTGCGAGCCATGTTTGGTGGAGCTACATGGTTGCCAAGGGTGTTGACGCCCTTGCGATCGTGCTCTGCAAACTGAACGCCACGATGAATGCGGAATGCGGTGCTGCTAGCTCCTACCTCGATGCCAACACGCACCAGTCATTTAGTTGTTGGTGTCGTAGGTGATTCGTTGTTGTTGTAGTAGGTCGTATGTAGAATAGTGTACGCAAATTCAATCTATCGGTCTCACCCTCGCTATAGCCGCCGGCAGCGCGCCGCAACGCTGTCGTTGTTGGTCGCGCTTGCAGCGACGCACGTCGAGCCGTCGTAGCAGGCACCGCGGTGGCACCGCGAACCCTCAAAGCCCGAGAGGTCGCTGGGTACAACGCAGATCTTGTCGGTGCAAGTGGATGGCCACGCACAGAGGATGCCGGGCGCCTCGCACGCCGCCCCGCGCTCCACGTACGTCGAGCAGAGGCCGCGCGACGGTGCGCTCTCGTGGTAGCAGAGACTGCCGTCCTTGCACTTGTTGTCGATACACGGTAGCCCGAGCGTGCCATCGAGCGTCGTTGGACGCAGCGCAGTCACGGCCGCGAGGAGGAGCCCGATTGTCGCCGTCCGCATATTGATGCAAATCAAGAATACTAATTGAGCGACGTAACTCCTTGGCAGCTATTTTGAACGGCCGTTCAACTGCTTTCGTAGCCAGCCACTCGCCCACCGAGGGTTATATATCTTTGCATTCAGGCATTTCGTTTCTCGTTTGGTTCGTTCGCCGTAACTCGGCAGAATCGCTACGATTCCCCAGAGCTGTTCTAGTCCTGTAGTACTATAGCCCTATAGTGTAGTATTCCTTTAGTCCAATGGACTGTAGTACAGTGTATCTACAAATGCGTTGAATGGACACTTTGGCGAGGCTCGTTGCAAGGGCTGTTTCGGCGCCTTCTGGATTTAAGATATCCGGATTTTAACGTCCCGTATGAAACGCACCAATCCTGACCCTGTCTATCCGGATAGCCAATCCTGCTTCAACCGCCAAGCAAAAGTGGAGGGGCGCCCGCGATGATCAGCCACCCGCGGAGCAGTGGCGAGCGATGGCTGAACGACGACAGTTTGTAGATTACATTAGACAACTAGGCATCAGGGCTTAATCTCTTGGAGTGCCACCTCGTCAAACCAAATGAACACTAGACAAGCCCATGGAGCGGAGGAGTGGGGTCCCCGTGGCTCGACTCGACTTGGAGCCGGCTCCAAACCTCAAGTCTGAGCCGATCCAAAAACGGCTCGAGTCGGGCCATTGGCCATGGCTTTTCCAGCGCGCGACGTGGACCGAACGTCTGCTCGAGTATATTCAAAGATGGTCGTACAACATACATTTTTACACTCAAATCGGCACTTCAACCTGCTTCCTTGGCAAGACTCGAGGTGCGATGGACGACTCGATTGGCTAGAGCTAGCAATGGGTTGCTTCACCACACGCCATGGGCAACTGGTGGTCGACGCCCACGAGCTCGGTCGGGACCTGCAGAAAGTTTCGGAGCTCATCAACCAGCGCGTCCATATCGTCGTCGTTGTCTACCGGGTCCAGCGTCGTCAGCGCGGTGAGCACCGCGTGGGCAAGGTGCGCAAATGCCGACACGAGCTCGGCGCGCATCGCCAAGCGTGCAGCAGGACTCGGTAGCGGCTCGACTGGAAACTGGAATTGAACCAGCAGCAGCAAATAGTGCTCGGCCGCGCGACGGGACCCGAGGAACGACGGCAAGTACGCGTCCAGCGCGCTCTGAAAAGCCA